GTTTGTGTTTATGTTTTTGTTGCTGCTGTTGTTGTTTTTGTTGTTGTTGTTGTTGTCTTTATGTTGCTCTCTGTGCTTTGTTTGGTTGGTGTAACATTTTCTAATTGACTGAAATTGATTTTGTTACAAGGACGCATTGCTTGTTGTTGAAGTTGATCCGGTATACCAATAGTTAATATATGTATCTACTCGTACGTATAGATGCTGGATGTCTTGTGATCGGCGATCTGCGATCTGCGATCTGGTATAGTAGCTGCTGATGAAGTTCTTTAACAATAGAGCACTACAACTACAAATCAGGGATGGGATAAAGCATTTGCACTACTCGTAACGAACGTTAACAGGGAAATGCTAGAGAAAATTCAACGTTACACTTAAAGCTGTCTCTTAAGCGGACACGGGACACGCCCAGAACTATTTCTGCGATTCAGATTCAGATTCAGATTCAGATACAGATCTAGATTCAGAAATCCAGTTCCGGTTGTCCGGTCGACCTACACCTGTCTCACAAATAATACGAGTACAAAAGTTGCCAGCGGCGCTACAAAGATGTAATTTTGGGCACAGCTGCCTCCAAAAATCAAGATTCGAGTCAGACTGCTCGTACGACAGTACAGTCGAAGGATCAAAGATCAAAGATCGAAGATCGATCACCGACCCGACAGATCAACAGTGCACACCATCTGTTGTGCATTCATTGATTCTGTGTGAGTTCTCCTCGCCTTACAATCAATCCTTTACTTTAATACATTTATATATATATATGTATATATATATATCTATATATATATTTCTTTACGTGTAAGTGTATATATATTTTTATGTATATTTATATATTGGTGTATATTTTATGTATTCCTTTTGGGGTTTGTTTAACTTCGCGGCTTGTTCGTCTCGTCCCGTCACGTCTCGTCTCCAGTTTGCCTCAATCTTTTTCGGTTTTTTTGAATTATTGCTTTTAGAACATGTCTTAAAAATATATTTATTTATATATATATTTATATGTGTATATATATGTATATGCCTTAGAAGTAGGTTTAATATATATATATATATATATTTTATGCAAATATAACATTTTTGCCCTTCTCGCTGCCTTCACCTCACTCGCTTCCTCTCCTCGTTAAAATATCTGCCGTCGCAGGGGCGAAGCTGCAGCATTGGAATACTTTCAAGTGACCCCCTGACCTGCTGAGTGCTCAGCGGAATCTGCGCTAAAGTAAACCTCGCCGTGTCATACCCTTCTCGATGACACTCGTAAAACACACCCATTCAAACTCTCCTCCCGATATGCCCGCGACTGGCAATGTGGCCTGATCTTTTGTCTATCTAAAATTGAAGAATTCTGTCTTTTCTGCTTCAAATATTCATTTCATTCCCTTACATTTCTTTTCACTGGTTTTCTTGTATTCTTGGTTTTGTTTTGTTTTTTGATTATACAATACATAAATGTGTAGATTATTCGGGATTGTTCCCGGCGGGTCATGCACAACGGCAGGGAGAATATACGCTCGAAGAAATTTCGGAAATTTCCAAGAGGACTTCTCATATTTTTGAATTTTCGTTTTAGGGAATTGCGGATGCAACATCTCTCCCGTTTTTTGTTGCTTTGTTGGCGATCAACACTCTTCTAAACGCTAAATGTAATTTCTGTTTCTGTTTCTGCGCTTTTCTGCGGTCCTGTTCGCGTCCTGTTCGTTTTCTGTTTTCTTTATAACTAGGCATACAATATCGTATAAGTATGTGTGGTTTCTGTTTCTGTTTTGGTTTTGGTTTTGGTTTCTGTTCTCGCGTTCCGCCCCTCTAGAGGCTATATATATGTATTGTATGTATGTATGTACGGTATTGTATGTAGGTTTGTTGTTGGTCCGAGACTTGACAGGCAAAGTCCTGGAGAGCGTTGGTTTGACAATTTGGCAAAAAAGTTATGAAAGGAACATTTTCACTGTTTCGGCATTTGCTTTTGCTTTCGCTTTTGCTTTCGTTTTTTCTTACTTTTATTTCTATTCCTCAATTTGTTTTTATGTTTTTCTGCTTTCCTGCTTTACTGCTTTTCTGCTTTGTGGCTGTTTCTGTTTCTGTTTTTTTATTTTAGTTTTAGTTTTAGTTTTTCAGCTTTTTCCCGTCGCCTAATGCAAAAAATCTCAGACTGACAGACAGAGAGAAAAAGCGCATCGTATTGTTGTTCTGTCAATTATAGAATATGTATTTCTATCTCTCTGCTATTTCGATTTTTTGTTTGTTTTCTTCTTTTTTTTTCTTTTGTTTTTTCTTTGTTTTTCCCTTCTAGCGTTTTTGTTTGGTTTTCTTGGTTTTTGTTCAATCTAATTTTCCCCCACTTGCTGTGTGTGTAACAAATGTCGTTTACTTATCTATCTGATAGGTTTTTTTTTGCGGTTTTTGTGGTTTTTTTTTTTGTTTGGTTTGGTTTGGTTTGCTTTTCCAATAATTTAATACTCCATATAGTTGTATATAAATATATTTTTCTATTATGCCCCCCGATTGCATATCAAATACTCGTATATCTAGTACATTCCATGTCCGAGTGATTCGCTGCCGGACGGAGCGACTAGAAAAAAAAATTAATTGCACATAACGTGGCCTGCATTTCATCGTCCTCCTCTCGTCTCCTCCTTTCTAGCCCGTCTTGCCCTTTCTGATCCGTTCTTTCTTTCTCTTATACATATGCTTGTTTACAGATACATATATATATGTATATATATATATATAGATTTAGTTAAATGTTCAAACATTTGCGATTTTGCGCGTTTGTTTTATAAATATTTTATTTACTTAATCGTACTATATGTGTTGTATGTATAATAGTTCATTGTTATATTTGCATATGCACTTACCAAGTAATTTGTTTAAGTTTTTTTCCTTCTTTTTGATTTATCAGTAAGATCTGTGTGTGTGTCTTTCAGTGTCTTCTGTATCTTCTGTATCTCTAACTTTATCTTTATCTTTATTTTTATTTTTTTATGTGTGTTTTGCATTTCGAAAATTGTTTGTGTGTTTCTTAGATATTTAGGGAGTTATTGGTTTGTCTTCCACTTTGTTCTGTGTTTTGTGTTCTTTGTTCATTTTTAATTTTTTGTTTGGTTTTCGCAAAAAAAATTGATTTATGTACGCCTCGAGCTGCAGAAATGACTCTCCGCTTCGCTTTCATTGTCATAATTAATGCTTTAACATATTTGTCTAACTATCCACTGTGTTTAATTAGCATTTTGTGTGTGTTCGCTTTTTCGCCATTTCGCCTTTTCGCTTTCAGTGTGACACACTTTGTGCACGAACACAAAGGCCTTTCATTCCATGAAAATAATGACAATAAAAAGGGAACTTCAACATATTTCAATAATAACAAATTGCCTTCGACTTTTCACATTTCACATTTGCTTTTCTTTTCATTTAATTTCTTTTTTGTTTTACTTTTTTCCTTTCTCTTCTCTTTTGTTTGTTTTTGTTAATTACTTTGGCCAATAAAGGATTTGTTGTACTTTAACATAAATTCATAAATATATGTATACGTAATTGCAGCACAATACAATTTTGATTTGATTTGTTTTGACTTTTTTGACTGCCCGCCCGAATCGTGAAATCAGGACAAATGTCGAACCCAATCTGATTATAACATTTGCAAGAAGCATTTCACTCTTTCGACTGCGATTGGTATTGTAATCGTGATCGTGATCGTAATCGTAATCGTGTTGATAGTACATTAATTTGTTGCTGGTTTCTGCATTGTTTGCGTTGGTTTTCTTTTCTTTTGATTCAATTAATTTCCTTTGTATATATTGCGGTTTACTTTATACGATTATGTATAGAGTATATATATATGTTTATATATTGACTTTAACTTTAAAAGTTACAACTTAGATACGTTAAGAATAGCAATAATAATGATAATAATAATTTGCATTAATAATACGCAATCAAATAATAACATTTTCGCTATTATTGCAACATTTTCAATTTTCTCAATTTTCTCAATTTACTCAATTTTGTTTTTCAACTTTTATCGTTTTTTTATTAGTTTCCCCCGATCTTTTTCGTATGTATATACGATGTATTTTTTTTTTTGCGTATTTTTTACTTTTTGTTGATTTCTCATTACTTAAAAGTGTGTGGCTGCCACAACAGCGTTGTTGTCATCATCCGCGCCTCCTCCAATTTTCGCTGTGTGTGCAGCCGCAGTCACGCCCCCTTGGCCCGCCGCCATGCCGCCATGCCGCCATGCCGCCATGCCGCCTTGCCGCCATGCCGCCATGATGCCACTCTCCCGTTTAATTTGCATTTTAAACGATTTTTGCTGCACACGTTGCATCTTTCGGGGGCACGACACTGCGCTGCTGCTGATGCTGCTGCTGCAGTTGTTCTTGTTGTAAGTAGTGTGGTTGTTAAATTAAAATTAATTCTTTTTTGTTTGCATACGCTCATAGTTTTTTCTCATCTTTCTTTCATTTTGTTTTTTTTTGGTATATATATATATGTTCATATACATATATATATATATAAATCTATATACATATATATGTGGGTGTGGGTGTGGGTGTGGGTGTACGGGGTTCTGGGCTTTTCTCCATACGCATATGTATATACGTTAATTAATTAATTAATTATAATATGTGTGAGTGTGAGTGTGTTTGGTTTATTGTTTGTTGCTCTTGCAGTTGCAGTTGCTGTTGCTGTTGTCGTTACGGATTTTTGTTTCGCTTTGCAATGTGGAAATACACGTGTAATATGTATTTTATTTGATTTATATATATGTATATATACGGGGATACATATATACATATCTGTGGTATATATGTATATATATATAATTTTAAATTATTTTTCTTGTTGCTGTTGTTGTTATTGTTGCTGCAGCATTACAGATACATTTACTCCTGCGTTCATCTCTTCGTGGTGTGTATCTGTATCTCTGGATGCTCATATCTGTGTGTGTCTGACATTGTTGCTAAAGTTGCAGTTGCTTGTGTTGCTCTTGTTGCTCTTGTTGTTGTTGTTGTTGTAGCTGTTGGTGTTGCTGCTGCTGCTGTCATTGCGGTTGTCGGCGCCACCTTTTAATGGTATCCATTTGTAAATGCCGCAGGAATTAGTGGTCCCTGTAAATAAACGTTTCGTGGAGAACAAAACAAGCAAACACCAAAAATTATTCAAATAAAATGCAATTTCTATGTATCTGCACATCTACGCACACACACACATACATGTATGTATATATACGATTAAATATATGTATATTAAATAGGTATATAGAAAGTAAACATTTATAGGTAGGTAGGAGGTATACATACAATACATATATGTATTTATATAGAAATAGTAAAAGTGAAAAGTTATTGGAAGTAGACAAAAATACTCGATTGTTCAACAAATAAACACTAGAGAGAGAAACGAACTCGGGAACGGAGAAACTAATCCCAAAAGGCCGATAGCAGAGGTTTGATAACAGACCATCCATCCATCCATCCATCCATCCATACTTTCCGTCAATGGACACGGCGGACACACAAGCCAACTCTTTTGTAGCAAAAGAACAGACCGAATGAACAGAAGGACTAATTCTGGCAGTCTGGTAATTGCAAGAAATGAAACTCCACAAATGGATCGGCCCATCAGGGGGAAGCCCTTTCATTTGTGAATGCCGAATCATGAAAGATTGAAACGGAATCAGAAATATCCATTAGGTATCTGTTAATCTGCATGCGACGCATGAGTATCTTTTTTCTCCCTTTGTCAGAGATGGCTTTTATCAAACCTCGCCGTCAGTCATGGATAATTGATATGGTTTTGGATATAATTTGGGTTCTTTTTGTTTTGTTTGGGTTTGCATCGACGCAAGGACGGATGTGGATTGGAGGTTCGGAAACATTGAAGTACTGAAATATTCATATACTATAATACATATACATATATGGTGTACAGAATTTAAATAAATCAAAAGAGTTTAATTGAAAACGGCCTAGAAAACTGTGCTTTTGACGTGCATACATATTTTTTTACGTTCATTTATTGTTTGTTTTATTAACATTATTTTTTGTTTGTTTTTTTTTGTTTTTTTTTTTTAGCTCAAAACGAAATATATTTTTGATTCGACTATTTGGTTGAAGTTTAAAGAAATTTGGATTGTTAATAATTGAAATTGTTTAGTTGAAAAAAAAAAAAACAGAAGAGAACACGCTGTATTTTGTTGGTGTGCCTACCTTGTGCAACTGCGTTTGTTTTATACTCTTATTTCTTTTGTTTTGCGTTTGCGTTTGCTCTTACTTTTGCTTTTGCTTTGCTTTCGTTTATTATTATTATTATTTTTTGTTGTTTTTGGTTTTTTGTTTTTGGTTGCATATATATATATATATGTATATATATATTCTCGATTTAAATATATAATTGTTTGCTTTACTTTTGCTTTTCTTTTCTTTTCTTTTGTTTTGTTTTGTTTTGCATTTATATTTTTGGGTTTTCAGTCTTTTTATATATTAGCCATCGCAAAGTTCAACGAATAAATCTGTACGAAATGAAAGAGAAATACAATACAATATATAGAAGGATAACGCATTTGTTGTTTAACTCTACATCGGTATTGGTGGTCTCTCTTTATCGCTATGGTGTGGCAAAGGGACGGATGTGTGTGTGTGTGTGTGTGTGTGTGTGAGAGAGTGTGTGTGTTTGAGTGTGTTTAATTTTGAAAACAAAACAAAATCGTTGAACGGAACAATAAACGATGGGTAACTTGAATTTGGGTATTTCTCTTCGCGCCCTGACTTCTCCCGAGTGGTAGGCACAAAGGCACATGGCACTATGGCACTATGGCACTATGGCACTATGGCACTATGGCACTATGGCTAATCGGAAGCCCAAAGGATGCTCAGGCTTCGGGCTTGAGACTTGCAGATTCTAGATGGGGGGGGGGGTTCATGGCCTGCACTTACCGGGCTGTAGTTTAACGGGGCTCGGCTGACGGCGATGGGGAAGCCGGATGGCTGCGGACTGGTGGCCTGCACGTAGCCCACATTGTCGGCCCCGGCCGAGCTGTACATGTCAATGGTTGGTCCGGGCGAGTTGGTGGATGGGAACCCCTGCCTGTTGGCCGAGCCAGCGGCTGCGGCATGCGGCGATGCCGACGGCCCAAAGCTATGGGCGGCCGCGGCAGCCGCCTGATAGTTGTTCATCACTGTGGAGAAAGAGAGGAGGTGGACGGTGAGGAGCTGTTGAGCGATTGGTGGCGCCACCCACTTTTCATAGATGGGTACTTACCTGACAACGCCTGGGTCAGCAGCGGTGTATTGTTGTTGGGTGTCAGCTGCCCATTGGTTAGATCAACTGTAAGTGGCAGAAGGGGAGACGCGACATTAGTGGGGAGTGCACACGGGAGGGGACGGGGGGCGCACAGCTAGTTAAGTAAGAGTTAGGGGGCATTCCTAGGCAGTGCCTAAGACAAGAGTATATATACGAAAGTAATCTACAGGTCACGCAGTAGGAAGGAGTACGAGTATACAAGTATGGAGTGAGAGAGAGAGAGTACGAGTACGAGTACGAGTACGAGTAAGAGTACGAGAGTATACGATTCTTATAAGTACATATATGTTGATTAAGCGGATACATAGTTCTGTGGCGGGTAGCATTGGTGTGTGGTGTGGTGTGGTGCCAAGGAAGTAAGCAATCAAAAGCGAAAGTAAAGAAGCACTAACTAGTCCCAGAACAACTACAATGCCAAAACACAAACAAAAGAGCGAAAGATACATACAGAAATACAGATACAGGTATAAGGGGGGGGTGGGTGTGGGAGTGGGAGTGGGAGAATAATATAACGCTAACTGGAACGCAGGTTATGAAAACACAAGCTGCTCGGTTATTAAACGAGCATTGCATTGGCGTTGGTCAGCGGTGGGCAGAGTGGTGGGGCCATGGGGGCGTGGGGGCAGGTGGCTGCTCTGGCTGTCTCTATGATGACAAAACAAAGCCCAAAGCCAGAATAAACCAAACCAAACCAAGCCAAACGAAACCGAACCAATCCTAGCCCATCAAAACCCATCAAAACCCATCCGAACCCGTCCAAACCCATCCAAACCATCCAAACCCATCCAAACCCATCCAAACCCGTTCAAATCGAGCCAAACTCAGTGAGTACGCTTGGTTTGGCCCGTGATGTGCACTTTCCTTTGGGCGCTTCTCCTCTGTTGTTAACGCTTTTTCCTTTTCCCCTGGATATGGCCATGGCTATAGCTATTACTGTTGTTCCCTTGTTATGGCCACAGCTGCTGCAGCAAGTAAAAATACGCCAGCGCCAATATTGAAATGACAACAGAATGCGAATGCGAATGTGGCTGTGGATGTGGATGTGAATGGGGCATGTGCATGTGGATGTGGTTGTGGATGCGACTGTGAATGTGAATCTGAATCCGAATCTGAATGAAGGACGAATGGGGCTTGGTCTAGTTCTGGACTACCTTTTTTTCGGGGTAGCCTGGTGGTCCTGGTCCTGTTAGTATAGTCCCTGACAAGACTCTGACACATCAGCCCCAATGACATGGCCCTGCCGGGCAGCCCACCATTCAGACGGGGTGAGGGGGGCATACATACGAGTATGAATGAGGGAAAGCGAAAAAAGATTGGATAACGGGTAACGGGTAACGGGTAACGGGTCAGGGGTTTGGGGTTTGGGGGGATGGCGGATGGGGAAGCGACGATGTTGCATTTCCTGCGGAAACACAAAAATTGATGTAACGTAACGTGACGTAACGTAACGATGCATGGCCGTGACTGTCGTCATTTGCCCCGCCACTCCACCATCCGCCATCCCTCCATCCCCACTCGGCTGCCCTTCCCCCCGCTTATCCCCTATTCCTGTTGTGCGTTTTATGGCGCCAATCAACTTTGGCTTACGTTTAGTTTACGTTTTTGCGGAATATCCGAGCGCCATGTTGTTTTCATTAGAGTCTGGCAATGCCACAAAGAAGCGGCAGCGGCAGCGGCAGCGGCAGCAGCAGCGGAAGGGAGAAGCAGAACAGCATGAATACCCCGTTAGAGCAACAGCAGTTGCAGCAACAGTAACCGTAACCGTTTCTTTTCTAAATAAATAACTTATTTAGTACGGGAAAGCTTTTTTTCGGTTTGTATGGCATCGAATGAAATGCGTTTCCGCTGCTGGAATCCTGACAATTGTCAGTCTTGTGGTGTTGTAAAACGTGGCGGAAAAACAACTGTTCTGTTCTGCTGCCAGCTGGTGACCTGGCAACCCTTTTTTCCCCAGGATACACGCTTCAATTGGGACATTTGAACAAACAAAATTGGTTAGAGGAAGACATTTACATTTACATTTACATTTACATGATCAGCGGGCGAATGCTACACGGTTCTCTGATATAATTCAGCTGAATGTTACATTAAGGTTACAATACATTGTACATATGATTTCTACAATTCTGTATGGTTATACGAGTATACGATATAGTATAAAGTATGTATAGTATGGTATAGTGTGTATATGTTTGATTAATCAGTTACAATTCGTTATATGTTTGTTGTACTACTTCTAATGACTGGGTTACAATTCTGGGGGGACGGACAGACAGATTTCATTAGTCTGTGGCTCTAGTCGTATTAGTCGTTTGTGTTGTGTTCTGTGTTCTGTGTTGTGTGTGGTGTGTGATCTGTGAAATGTTCCATTAACTGGGGCTAAAGATAAGGTTTCGCAAAACGAAGAACACTACACATAAATATGTATATAGTAGGTACGTATGTATGTTTTCCATGTTGGAGCTACGACTGCCGCCAATCGATGATGGGGGACAGTTTACAATTTGTCTCGATTAGGTTTTATTAGGCTCTTTGCTAAACTTTTGCTATCAACTAACGGTTTACATATAAAGTTAATAATCATAAGATGCGAGAACGTCTGTCGGAACGGTTATAGGTTCGATATATATACTACACGAGTATGATATATAGAGAGATACATAAGTATATAAAAAGAGTATAATGCTGGTACGATTATGCATTGGAATTATAAGACGACCATTAGCTGACCTTGTGGAGTGTGTTCGGAGTGTTGTTCGGAATCGGAATCGGGTTCGAGTTCGACTTCGACATCGACATCGACTTGGACATCGAGTTCGAGTTGACGTTGATGTTGCTTTGGTGTTGATGTTGCAAGTTGTGCTGCTTGCCTGCTTGCTGCCCGTAGCTGCTGCGGATGTTGTCGTTGCCAAGTTGCTGTCAATTCTAAAGCGCATACGCCCCGTTGGCCACTTTGTCACTCTCTCTCTCTCCATCTCTCTCTGTCGCTGTCGCTGTCTCTGTCGCTCTGGGCCATGTCGAAACCATTCAAGAAATTTGCCTTGCTAATAATACCGGAGCTGCAGCCTCTGACAAGAGCCAGCGAACGACTAGAGACCGACCAGAGACCGACTAGAGACAAAGGCGAATCCAAATGCCCTACGGCCCGGAAAGGATAGACTTTGCTTTGGGTTTTTGGTTTCGGCTTTTGTATCCGCATTTATTTGATTTTATTTTCACTTTATTTATCTTAGTTTTTGTGCATTTATTTAGTTAATAACTTTTCGGCTTGGTTTTCCATTTCGTAAGCAATTTCAATACTGCGTTTGGCAAATGGTTTTTTTTTCTTTTTCTTTTTCGTTTTTTTCTTGTTCTCGTTTGAAGCGTTTTCTTATAAATCACAGTATATACGTGTAAAATACATATAGGTATGCGTGTGTGTGTGTGAGTGTGGGTATTAGTGTGTGTGTGTGTGTGAGTGCTATATAGGTGTGTAAATATATATATGTATAACTCGAAAGCGCCTTATAATAGTTGCAAGAAGCACCAACGAAGCAGTGGCCACACCAACCATCTGATTGCGGCAGCTAGAATGTGGCAGCCATGTGGCCATGTGGCCATGTGGCAAGTGGCGATAATTGCATTCAATTAACTAAGTAACAGCTTATCAATTTATCAATTTATAGATAGATATATATTGATCATTCGTCAAGGTATGCCATAACTAGGTTCGAACGTCGAATGGGTTTGTTTTCATGTTGCATGTTGCATGTGTAGAATGTAGGAGAGGACCATTGAAAAATTGCATTTTTCATCAACTTAAAGAGAGAGATTTGTTGTTGTTTTTCGTTTTGATTTTTGGTTGTTGTTGTTGTCTTTGATTTTTGTGTTTCTTTCGCTTTGTTGCTCTTCGAAAATGGATGGACATTAATATTGTATTTATCGTCAAGTATTGTACAAATCAAATCGTACAAAATGAATACTCGAATGCTTAATTTGTAAACCCTCGTATATTAAATATGTGTATATATAAATAGTCATGTATATATTGTAGGTATATAGTATATATATATATATATATATATAGTAATGTCTATGTATTTTATAAAGAAATGTCCAAAAATTCGCTCATTTTTTGCTGTGTTTAAAGAATTCTTTCTTTTTCTTTTTTTCTTTTGACTTTTTTTTTGGATTTTTGTTGTTTTTTTTTTGAGATTTTAGCGATGCACCGATGAAGGAAGGAATTTTTATAGTTGATTTTCTTACAGGCTCTCAATTCGTACAATATGTGGGCCAAATGCGGTATTTTTTTCTTGCCAACAGTATGAAACGGAATAATACAACAACGGATAATGGATAAATGGATAAATGGACAAATCGACAAATCTACTAATTAATGAACTTTTGCTATGCTAAAAATCTCTGCACACGTTTGCTAATTATCTCTAAAAAAAAAGCACACACATGGGGACCACCAATATACACATACACATATGAAAATACATATATGCATAGACCAACAACAGAAACAGGAACAGAATCGGAAGCTGAAACAGCAGCAGCAGCCGCAGCTAAAACTGAAAAACAGTACAGGAAAATGGGTATGGAAATGGGTGAATGAAAGGCAAAAACAAAAACACAGACAAACAAAAGGGCAAAGCGCAAAAAAAAAAAAAAAAACAGAGTAAATATCATACATAATATGCAGCAAATTAATTAAAGGATAATAATGGCACTACATGTCTGACAGGCCTGCTAAAATTTGTCGTTATCTAAATGTTATTCCATGTGCATTTTATTCGAAATTCGAAATTCCAAATTGTTGCTGCTGCTGTTGTGTTGTGTTGTGCTGTTGTTGTTGTTCCAATTGTGGGAAGCAGCAACTAATTTATGCATAGTACATACAGGGAGGACTACAAATGAAATTTGCATTTAAATGCTACGGTAAAATAGTTTTATAAATATTAAATGTGTGTGTTCGTGTGGGTGTAGAATCGGTATACGATCCGAGTACGAATACAAATGGGGGCCAGGACCAGGACCAGGACCAGGACCAGGGCCAGAACCTGGGCCAGAACCAGGGCCAGAACCAGGGCCAGAACCAGGGCCAGAACCAGGGCCAGGGCCAGGCCAAAGGGTACAAATGGCAGAGATTCATGTGTGTGTGTGTGAGTACAGTTTGTATACGTTTTTATATTGTAGATATAGTAGGTAGATACTGCTAGGGTTCTCTAGTGTCTCTATAGAGCGATATATAGTATAGTATTGTATAGTACGTATATATGGTTATGCTTGTCGCTTATCGCTTATCGCTTAGCGCTTATGTGATTATGTTCGCCTAGATCTAAGCCTAAACGGTTCTACACGGTTATAGTACGGTACGTTCAATCATTGCATTCACGGCTATGGAACTGCTCTAGGGCTAGAGACTAGAGACTAGAGACTAGAGGCTAGAGATTAGAGATTAGTATGGGTGCTAGCTGCTGATACAATAGCCCTCTAAGTGGGGCATACATATGGTATGCATGTTTGTATGTAAGTGATACGTGGATAACTCTAGTCACTACTTAGGGGTTCCAGCTAATACTGACTCGGTAATAGTTCGATATAGGGGGGGTAAGTGGAACGAGAGGCTATATGTTGTCAGCTATAGGTGTGTGTGTGTGTGTGTGTGTGTCAGCTATATGCAGACCGCAGATCTAAGTGTGTGTGTGTGTGTGGATTACATGGATTCGAAGGCACATATTCAATGCAGTTCTCTTCGAATCTCTGGGGTTAGTTGTCATTCGTTCGCTTCTATCGAGTTTAAGGCTCGTTTCTTCGTGTTCTGGATGCGGTTATTGCTGTTGTAGTTTTAGTTTTAGTTTTGGTTTCAGTTTTAGTTTCAGTTTCAGTTTCAGTTGTTACTCGTACCATTACCGTTGATATGGGGCTAAGCTATGGCTGTTTGTGGCACTTGTGGCACTTGCTGTTGCTGTTGCAGTTGCAGTTGCTGTTGCAGTTGTGGTTGTTATTGATTGCTGTACCTACTTGTCACTTGTACAAATGATTTATTTGGATAGCGTGTCGTTGTCGTGGAGACCGAGGAGGAAGAGACAAAAATGGCAATGAGAATAGAAATGTTTATCAAAAACTTTGCAGGGCCTTGTTCTCTGGCTATCTCTGTTCTGTGTCACGACTGCCTCTCATTGTCAGACTTTTTCGATTCGATTCGTTTCGATTCGGTTTCGGCCCGGCTCGGCTCGGCTCGGCTCGGCTCGGCTCGGCTCTGTGCACACTTAGAAATTTATGTTGCCCAGAAACTGTGATTTGATGGCCGCCGAGCGGGCTGTCAGCGCCGTGGCAAGTGGCAGGGCCAGCGCCTGTTGATGATATCCCGACTGGGGCGGGCCGTGTGTGGCGGCAGCCGCCGAAGAACCACCGACAGCAGAGGCACCGCCCGGGGCGGCTCTGCTGCGGCCCGGTGTCGCGCTACATGCGGCACCGTAACTCCTACCGATGCCGCAAATGGTCAAGCCTACAAAATCATACGAGATACAAGATAGATAGATAGAGATAGAGATTGAGAGAGAGAGAGAGAGAGAAAGAGAAAGAGAGAGAGAGAGAGAGACACACGCTAGAGCTGCAAAACTATCGATAACAAGGATCGGGGGCTACCACATACGCTTCGAATCAGAACTGGATTTGGAATTGGAAACCTAATCTAAAAACAAAACAAATGAAAATGGAGAGAATTGAGGTGCTGATTGCAAGCAATCGACAGTCTATCGATAGCTGAATCGATTGTTGTACAGCTCTAACACACGCAATGGATCGATGGGGCAATCGGGCGATGGGGCAATGGGGCGATGGGTGGGGTTAGATCTGGTCGGGGTTAAGGTTATATATCAGCTAGAAGCCCTAGTAGCCAGTGTTCTGTAGTAGCTCTCTGTGTGATCGTGTGATCGTGTGATCGTGTGATTGATGCAAATGATAAACGCAAGGCCAAGCACAGGAGATTTGCGCGCAGGAATCGATTCTAAAGGGGTTCTATTATCATATGGAAATGGCAAATATCTGATTCAATATATATGAGACTGTGTAGCACTGTGTTTGTCTGTGTTTGCCTGTGTATTTGTGTGCGTGTGTATCGATAGTTTCCGATACTTTATATCTGTGCATTGATATGACGAACGGTTTGGGCTTTAGAAAAAAACGTGATTTCATTTATTGATCGTGATCATGAGTAATACTCGATAAATAGTCATTTCAGCTCTGGTTGGTCGGGAAACAGATATCAGAGCCCAGATCCCAGGTCCCAGTTCCCAGCTACCAGCTCCCAGCTACCAGCTCCCAGATCGAACACATCACAGATCTCGGATCCCTAGGACGAGCCGTTGGTGGGGGCAACCATGTAATCACCAATCAGTATGCGATTCTCCGGCATTACGCCCATTACACCGGCTGCAAAGCAAATATACAAAATTAAGAGTAAGGAAACAGAACACACAAAAACTAAAGAAAGTAACAGAAATGTTTGATTGACTGACTGGCTGAGTGGCTGACTGATTGTGGATGATGGAACATAAACACGAACGAACGAACGAACGAACGAAGGAACGAACGAATCGAACACAAGCATCGAGGGCAAACAAATCATTATAATCCGTGCTGGAGGCGAGTTAGTAATGCTAATGATTATTACACGACTTTCGTCATATCAAGTAACACAAACTGTTCGAATTGGGGACTGTGGCATGGGGCATGGGGCATGGGGCATGGGGCATGGTCGGGCGGGGTGTTGAGGTTGTTGAGCAGTTAGTACTCGTTTTAGTCACAAAAGTTTCTTCACCTTTCGCTACACATCACACTCTCACTCACATACAAATGAATAAAAGACGGGGGGCCCGAGGCGAGTGTACCTACAAATGTGTTTGTGTGTCGTGTGTGTGTGTGGGTGCGAGTGTGTGCGAGTGGGTGACTGTGTGCCTTTGTGGGGTGTACGCACAAATACGAGAGTATGGGTGAACGGGACTTACCAGTTGGATAGGGGAGTCCGAAGGAGGGATAGCCCGAATATCCGCGACCAGCGGCATAGGCAGCATAAGCAGCTGCCGGAAAGCCTGCGAATGAAGCAATATACGATCGGATAAGATACAGCTATAGATACAGAAATAGAAATAGATATAGTTACCTTCGGGCAATGTCCCCAGACCCCACATGATGTTATCTAAAAAGGTGGCATGAAAAACAAGAGAGAGCACATAAACAGATAATTACTAACATTCAGATCAATTAGGGATCAATTAGATCTAAGATATTAGAAACGAAAGAGAGTACCGAGATTATATCAGATATAGGACTAATTGATATAGATTATATGAAAGACTGCTTTACTATTATGTAGATTAGAGCGTATTCGGTTAGTGGTTAGTGTTTCGATTCGTGTGTACTTAGAGATCTAGAAATGTTGTGTTTAATATGGCAACTAAGGAACACCGTCGTCGAGTCGATCGATTGTTCCACTATATACTAGGTGTATGTGTGTGTTTGTGTGTGTGTGTGTGTTGAGTTCTAAGAGTTCTAGAGTACCCTCCCTCCCGATTTGTGGTTGGTTCTCTTTCGCAATAACAGCCTTGATCTGAGCTATTTATACATATATAGTAGTATGTAGAGTTAGAGTTAAGTATAGAGTTACATTTGATCGATATGACACACAAAGCTAAACACTTATTCGATATGTAATCTAAGACATTTAATGCTATTCTATGAGTATAAATTTCAATATTTTCGCTAATAGTTCTCTGCTTAAGATACGTACGAGTACGAGTACGAGTAGATATATGTTTGTATGTGTATATATGTATATATATATCTATATACCCGATGCGGGGGCAATTCTAAGGCCTGCGACAGTGCATTTCTACGAAAATGCCACATGCCACCAGGCCATTGCCCCGCACAAACGGCTAAGGATAAGTGGAATCGAATCAAATCAAATCAATAGAATCATAACTATAATCACACACAAAATAACTAAATATATGGGCTAGAGAAATACTACAACTCAAGAAGGGGGTGGCGGGGGTGGGGGAGAGAGAATTGAAAAAGGTTGACATCTATTAGGAGGGATATTTGTAAAAATTTGTATAAATTTAGCTTCGGGCCTCCGCTTTTCTCCAAAAACTTCACTTCTTCGACATCGACTTCGACTTCGACTTTGACTTTGTTCCTCCTTTCCTTTCCTTTTCTTTCCTTTCCTTTCCTTTCATCTCCTGTCCTCTTCTCTCATTCGTTCATCTTTGGCATCAGTGCGTTGACGGATGGCTGGTTTCCGTTTCCGGTTTGTTTGCTTGTTTGTTGGTTTGTTAGTTTGTTTTGTGGCAACTTAGGCTAAGATTACAATGGATATAACGTCAAGTACGTCGAGTACAAGCTAGAGTCTGAACTTGAGCGCTTAATGCGCTTATCGTAATGCAATATATATATATATATGTATGTATATGTATATGTAGTACGAGTATGTAGTAGTATGTGGTATATGTATGCGCTTCGAATGTATAGTATGTATGTATGTATTTACGAGTATAAGTGGGTATATGTATGCATAATAAATAGCTAGTCTCATGTTTAGTCAAATATTAATGGCTATATGCAAGACAAGTACAGTACCCACACACATATGCCATGTGTGGAGTGGAAGAGTGCAGGACGTAGGAGTCAAAGTACAACGAGAGATGTACGGGATGCACGGGAAGTTGGCCAGGCTGGAAGTTGCCTGTTATTTCGATTACGTCGGCCCTCGACTGTCGGAGCTGTAATTTGGCAAACGGGCGGCAGGACACAAGGAGGTCGGTCCTGTAATTGGGCATCCATTATCCATGATCCATTTTACCAAATTACACTCTGACAGCCGCTCTAAATGGGCATTCCAACATTCCCACATTCCATCATTCGATCATTTTTCAAACACAATACATGGGATATGCGTGTAGATACATATTTATATCTAATACTTTCTTGATACTTGCTCCTTTCGCTGTGTGTGAGCTGCTTCGACTTCGACTTCGACTTCGACTTCAACTTAATCGCTAATTGGTTACATTCGCTAAGATTCAATTCGATTCAATCCGATTTGATTAAATTAAGTGTTCATTTTTGTTGTTGCTTTTTGCCACTAGAGAGAGATACACTTTTGAAGAGCTATTGATATGAGAGATACGATACGATAATGTTCGATATACAAGAAAATCCAGTTCAAACATAAATGAGGCGCCGATTGCAACATAGTCCATCTTTTCGTTTCGTTTCGATTCGATTTCGGTTCGTTTTGGGGTCAATTTTACATTCATGTGGGGACGGGGAAGGGGGGGCTCTTAAGTGTCTAAGACATATGTTACATGATCGCCCTCTAAGGTCTAAGGTTGCTTCAAGATTGCCCCAAGTTGCTAGGTCATCTCGCAGCAATCACGCACATCTAAGCAGGCCCCTCTAGGACCTGCACTTAGCCTAGTATCTTAAGCTAGTTCGAGTAACTTCAGTTCTCTTAGGTTCTATCGAAAAAAACAACGTGTAGAATGCGCGCTAGTTAGTTAGTTAGTTAATTAGTTAGTTAATTGGTTCGTTAATCAAACGCCGCTTAGACAGAAACAAAACATACGATTATGGTACAGTAAGTACATGGCTAAGAGATTGTACACGTAATCCTAGGCCTAGGCTTAAGGGCGCTGCATACGAGCGCCTTTTATCATTTTTGGACATTGAGACGGAATGAGAGTCATATACGAGTATGTACTATGTTTATATACGAGTAGAAATATATGTGTGTACAAGTGTGTGTCCGTGTGTGTGTGTCTGTGAGAGTGTGCGTGTGTGGGTGTCTGTGGGTGTGTGTGGGTGCCATGAAAAGCAGAGAAATCCGACTGGAATCAGATCTGAAATCGTCTAGTGGATTGCCACGTCTCACTGCTGCCTGGGCGGTCACATGCCTGGCAGCTGGTAGAGGGAGGCGGCCGCAGCCGCCGCGGAGTTGGCGCCCGACATCTCCAGGCCGCCCGGCATCGCCAGCAGCTCGCTGAGCGGATAGTGGGCCGCTGCCAGGGCCGCGTTCTGACGCAGCTGCGCCTGCTGGGCCACGGCGGCGGCGGCTGCCGCTGCGGGGGTGTTGGCGGCCGCCGTCAGGGCGCTGAGCGTGGCGCCGGGCGCTCCTCTGAGGCCGCTGCTCACGGCGGCGGCGGCCAGCAGCCGCTTGTAGCCCATCACGGCAGCGGCGTCCGCGTAAAGGGAGTTGGCCAGAGCGGCGTTGCTCTGGCTGGCATTGGCTGCCGCTGCGTACTGCAGCAGAGAGGGGCCGCCCGTGGGGGCAGCGCCCGAAAGGGGCATCAGCGAGGGAGTGGCCCCTGCAGCAGCGGCCACCGCTTGAGCGAGGCTCTGCTGCTGCTGCTGCTGTTGTTGCTGCTGCTGCTGCTGGTGGGCGGCGACGGCAACAGCCTGTTGCTGCTGCTGCTGCACCGCCTGCTGCTGCTGCTGCTGCTGGCTTACAGCCGCTGCTGCTAGGGCGGCCGCTGAAAGGTGGGCGGGCAGCGGATAGGGGGAGTATCGCAGCGAGGCGGCGGCTGCCGCGGCCCCCAGGAGCTGGTGGTGGGGGTGGTGGGCGTGTTGGTGGGTGTGGGTGTGTGTGTGTTGTGGTGCCTGTGAGTGTTGCTGTTGTTGTTGTTGTTGTTGTTGCTGCTGGTGGTGGTGGTGGTGGTGCTGCTGCTGCTGCTGATGCTGCTGCTGCAGCACGGAGGCGGCAGCGGCTAAACTACTTGGCAGCAGGCCAGCAGCGGACGTGGCCGCCGCCGCCGCTGCCGCCGCCTGATTGGCGTGGCTGCCCCAGACTACCAACTCACCGTAAGCAGAGCGGCCGGCCGCACGGGTCTTGGCCAGGTTGGCCGGCAGCATCACTTCCTTTGGCTGCGCCTTCTTGCACTCGACCTGGAGAGAGACAAGCAACAAAAAGGAGAAGGAGATTGGGGAGTGGGGTGTGGAGAGTGGGGAGTGGGGGGGGTTAGTATCTGGGATTCATGGCGCTACGCTCGACTTACCATTTTGTTGTTTATCTCATGGAAATGAATTTCGCAAACTTTGTCTACCACATCTTCGCTTTGAAATGTAACGAAGCCAAAACCTGCAAAGAGAGGAAAGGAGAGAGAGCAAACAGATAAAAGAAGAACAGCGGAACAGCGAGACGAAAGGGGGGGTAGAGAGGGTGGTAGAGGGGTAGCAGAACGAGAGAGTGCAGAGTGGGCAAAAAAGTTTAAGGGCTGCAAAAATTGAACGAAATATGCTTTTGTGTGCGAGCGGCTAAATAATTTACTCAAGTGTCGAGACTCCGAGACACAGGCTGATGGCGCGCCCTCTGGCACTCTGGCCCCCATTCCTCACTCCTCCCCTTGTCCTTAGTCTGTCCTCAGGCTGACCTCAATATGCATCCCCTGCAGGGACTCAAGTGGCGGCTGGGCGAGTAATTCAAACACTGGACGCTCGCTCTGCTCCGGGTTTACATAATAAACTTTGCCAGCGGACAAAACTCAGTACTGAAGGAGGGAAGACTCCATCCCTGCCCATTCCCAGGCCCATACAAATGCCCAGACCCACACCCGGCTCCCCCCCCCCCCCCCCCTCGCTCTTGGGTCGTGGAGAGCCTAATAACTTTTTCCTAATGGCTGGCTGGTTGGCTGGCTGGCTGCCTGCCGTCCTAGCTGTTCTGGCAGTTCAGCTATTTTTGATATCCTCAAATTAGAGGCTGACGGAGAACTTAAATTCCTGGAATCCCAAGTCATTCCTGGGCTCTGTGGCAGGCAGCAGGGAGCAGGCAGCAGGGTCCCGAATTGGCAAAGGATTTATTGTAGCTTAATTGCATTTCTTCTGTTTGTTAAACTTACAAAATAGTATTCTCCCCTCGAGTGCAGGCAGCAGCAGCAGCAGCAGCAGAGCCGAAACTTTTTATCGGATCGTGGAATATGATATTATCTCCAGTATCCTTCTGCCTCTCCCATTGGGTCCTGCCCCTCCGCTAATCGCACCCTGAGGTTTTCCACTGCAAAGGCGTTCCACCAATTTGGCCTTATCGGGGGTTTTCAATTAGCGCAATTGTCTGAGATTTCACATGGTCCTTCGACCAAAGGACTCCACTCCGCTCCACTCCAGGACTCACTCTCTCCCTGTCCCTGTCCCTGTCCCTGTCGCTCTCTGTGCAATTAGCAAGGCCAAGTGCAGACACCTGATGCCCCGAAAACCCGTATGCCGCTGCCTGCCCCATGGCCCCTGCACCCTGCCGCCTGCCCCCTGCTCTGTGTACGTTTGTTTGCCTTTGGTATGCGGGCGTACAGGCGGACAGGGCGTGGCGTGGGCGTAACTGGCAAATTAGTTGAAACAAGTAACAGTAAACACGCAGGCTTATTAGCGACATGTGCCTGGAATGAGGAGAACGGCAACGGCAACGCCAACAGCAACAGCAGCAGAAGCAGCAGCAGCAGAAGCTCCACTTGCCACTTGCCATTTGCCGCTTGCTGCATGGTCCTCTGCCCCGAAGCCTTCAGCTCCGAGCTTCTCGCTTGAGACAACGTGCGGGCAGGCTGCTTCCTGCTTGTCTCTATCCTTGCCTTGGAGTGTGTTTGTATTTGTTTTAATTATATAAAATTAGCGCACGTTGCAAGTTGCACGTAAAGCTGCCACTTAGGTTTCTGCTGCTGCTGGTGCTGCCTCTTGTGCCTGGGCCTTCTGCTACTTTTTCGCCTTGGGCCACTCATAAATCAGCCGTAGAGCAAATGAAGCCAGCAATTTTTTGGTGTCCTGCCTCTACCTCTGTCTCTGGACCCCTACCAGCCCCTACCAGCCCCTACCAGCCCCCTGCCAGCCCCACACGTAACTCAATCAAAAATGTATCCGCTGGATACAAATGCGCCCTGGCAGCTTGAGGAATGCCCGGTCCGTTTGCCTCGTTTTCTGCGGCTGCCTTTTGGCCCTCAGCTCAGAGCTCGTGTTTGAGCCTGGTTCTGGGTTCTGGGTTCTGGGTTCGGGGTTCGGGGTTCTCGGATCTGGGATCTGGGGGCTCGGTCTGCGGCCAAGTCGCCATTTTTACCTGTCGAAAATTTCCCGCAGGACGACGATGGCAATGGCGATGGCGATGGCGATGGCGATGGCGATAGGAGCTGACGATGGTCTTGGCAACTGCAAAAATTGCACACTCATGCATGTTATTGCCAAGAAGCGGACATAGATATATGTTCCAGGCATAAGCTCTCGCTCTGGCTATGCCTCTGCTGTAGGATTGGGAGCAGGCGGCAGAGGGCAGAGGGCAGGGGCAGGGGCAGGGGCTGGGGACAGGCAGCACGGAGGAGCATTGCGCCAGCTGCTGTTATGACTGCGCTGCGCCGGCTTGCCAAAAAGAAAAATTACAAAATTTTCAATTTTAATATTAGTGGCGGCTGGCGGCTGGCGACGCCAACTGCCAGGTCTCCTTCTCGTGCTCCAACCCCCACCCCCACCCCCACCCCCACCCACTCCAACTCTCTGTTCCCTCCTTGTGTATCTATCCGCTCCACCTTTTCCATTTTTTCTTTTTTTGGGAGGGAGGAAGGCTGCTTAGGCGCACGTTGGGCATGTCCTTGGCTTGCCAAATGAAATTCATAGCATAGTTCTGGGCGCTGCTCAGCCGCTTGTGGACCCTGCTCTGTACAGTACAGACAGGCTAAGGGCAACATGTGCGGCAGCTGAGAGTCACAACCACATCTCAATCCACGAAACTCTGTCTTCGATCGAAGATCGAGAATCCAAGCCATGCCACAAATATCGATCTTACTTCTGAAAGGACTATTGTTAGGGGGTTCCTTTCCATCCTATATTCTCAGACTCTTAGGAGAGTAGCTCTCTCTCTCTTAGGGCGTCTCCACTGTACGTGGAATTGCCCTCGTTGCCGCTGTTTCTGTTATTGTTGCCATTGCTGTTAGGGCCTGCTGCCTATATTGTTTTATGGCATATTCATATATTGTTTTCTATATTTTTTTCCAGTCCATTCCCATTCCTCATCCATAAAACGGTTCGCTTGTGTGTAGTTTTTGGGCCAACTGCTTGTGTCTCTTGTTTTTTGCCACTGCCCCAGCCCCGGTCCCGGCCCCGGTCCCGGCCCGGGCCACTGCCACTGCCACTAGCACTGCCCTTGCTGCAATTTTCAGTGACCAGGCTTATGTGTGTTCGAATGTCTGTCGCTTTGTCTATTTGTCTGTCTGTCCGTCCGTCTGTCTGTCCCTCTGTGTGCCTGTCGCTGTGCTGCACACATGATTTATGAATGAGTAACAAACTTGCTGCCGTGTAGCCGGAGCAACCGGAGCAACCAGCGACGTCTTTTCCACTTTTCCTTCACGTTCTTTTTTCCGGCTGCCCCTCCGTTGGCTTCTTTATTATAGTCGATGCCTTGTTTGTGTGTGCCGCCACCACGCTGGCAATTGCCACGTATACGGGGCAGCCAGCCCGCTCTCGGATCGATAAAATGCAATTACAGGCATATCGCAAGTGCCAGTAGGCAGGAGGGCGGCGGAGGGCGGCGGAGGGAGGCGTATGGAGGCGGGGGCAGGCTGTAGATGGGACAGGAGCAGAAGCGGAGACGGAGACGGAGATTGGGCGATTGGTAGATGGGGCAGCCGGTAGTCCGACGACTCATGGCAATAAGGTCGTACATCGTCCAACTGTACAAAAAGTCGCCATCGCCGTCGCTATCGTTGTCGTTGCCGTTGCCGTTGTCCTCGTCCTCGTCCTGGTCGTGGCAATGAAGGCTTCTGCTACAACTAATACCCTTTGATTAACGACACACATTTTCTATTGACTTGAGGAGGGGGGCGCCTCTTCCTCTTCCCCTTCCCATGCCTCTTGAACCAGGACGGACGGACGGAGGGACGGACGGTGGCCTGTGAAGTTGGGCAGTTGGCTGCCCCTGCCCCTGCCTCTGCCCCTGGCCCTGGCCCCCAAACACTGCCTGCATATTTCATACCCTGTACTCCGATCGATGCACGCAATTGTAATTTGCAAAGCTGACATGGCCTGGCCCTCGTCTCCGTTCGGGCCAAATGAGTAGCTCAGCCAATGGGTCGTGTCAATAGCTAAACGGCCGGCCAATGCATTTTTAATTGGCAAATCAGAAAAGTAAGCCACACACACACACACACACACACTCACAGCCGTGAAAGTCGTACGGGTATACCTGAGTGGAAATTCGTGGAAATATCGTTCCACGTTCACGTCGTGGCCGCAAAAATTTCTCATTATTTTTCCTTGTTATAGCCAGGGCTGGAGTGGGCCAGCCAGTGGGCGCCTCGTACCACCCCCACCTCCCACCCGAGTCTCTAAATCTTTAATGTGATGTCCGGGCCGTGTGTCCTTCACATTATTTTAAAATGCTTCATATTCGTTTTTATTGGCCGCCTTCTGTTACTGCCCCATCCAGGCGATTCCTTTCATTTCGCTGCTCTCTCTCTCTCTCTTTTTCAAGCCTTCTTTTTTATGTATGTACATATGACTGCATCATCATGCAGTTTCAGCGCACTCCAGCGTCCAATTAAGCGAAATGTTCTGTGGGCACTGCTCTCCCGCCGCCTCCCGCCGCCTCCCGCCATTCCGCTCCCTCGTTCCGCTCGTTCTCTGGCGCTTATCTGCGATGCGGCGCACAGAAGTGTGCTACAATTTTTTATGGGCCGCGCACAAGCAAAAATCATGTTTTCTTATTCCCGTGTGCGTAATTTGAAGGGCGCAAAAGTTAACAATGTCCGGGGGTTGCTACCAGCCAACTATTGATGTATGCTGTTCCATGTATCTGTATCTGTGGCTGTATCTGTGTCTGCGGCTGTGCCTGTGCCTGTATCTGTGAGTGTTCCTGTATCTGTACAGTGTGTGTGTGTGTGGCTGAGTGAGCTAATTACTTTCCACCAGATAGATAGAGGCAGGGGAGGGGAGAGAGGTAGAGAGACACTGCACTCGGACTGTGGTCTGCCGCCTCCCTGCGAATCGAGGTTTGTGCAAAATTGGGCACATCAATCTTAATGCCCCGTGTCTCAGGTTGTACTCTGACCCTACACCCTCCCACCCTGGCCACCCCATATGCGCCTGTTCCTGGATTCTGGCCCTACTGCCCCTCGCACTGCCCCTCCTGCCCCTCCTGCCACACAACCACTCACAACGGACATGTCAATGGGAGTCAATGGGACCTGGTCGCAATGCGAAATTCGGGGCGTCATTTAAAACTTTAATAAGCAAAATTGACAACGACACAAGGCATCGGACTGTGCACAGGACATGGACACATCCAGTCCGGGGCCACCGGGGGTGGCTGGGTGGTTGGCTGGACATCAGGTGGACACACGGTGGACAGGGATCTGGACTGCTGCTGCCGGACAAACGCAACGGTCAACGGTGGCGCAGTCGTGCGCTACAAGTTCGTGTAGCGGATGTACACTGGAGATTTAAGCCTTCTGCCGCTTCTGCTGGTGCTGCTGCTGCCGCTGCTGCTGCTGCCTCACCTGACCTCGCCGTCTCCGGAACGATGCTGCCCCCATCCTCTTATGGCCCTTATATCCGGTTGCATTGGCAGGTAATCTTTTCGGCTGCCTCTACATCCTGTTGCCTGGCCATTTTAATGCCTTAACAGGGCCCAGGACGCTCAGAGCCGTTGGCGAACGTTAAGGTTTTAAAACCTGAATTTAGCAATTTCGCCCGCCCCGAAACCCAATGGAAACCCCTTCATAAGTATCTTTTCCACCGCACACATAAAACGACTCTCGTATGATACATTGACATTGTCCGTGTGTCTGTCTGTGTGTGTGTGTGTGTGTGTGTGTGCTCTCTCTCTCGCACTTCCGGCTACCGGACTGCGAGCTGCGGACTGCGGACTACGGACTACGGACTACGGAGTAGTCGGACCGGAAACCGGGGCTAGCAAATGGGGGCATTCTCTGGGCATTGTGGGCATTGGCAGTCCGCTAATGCGCGCATCGATAACTCACCTCTGTGCCGATTGGTCTGCTTATCGAACATCAGCATGGCGTCCTCGATCTGCAATGAGTGAAAAGATGGAGAGAGAGAGAGCGTTTCGTTAGCTTAAAAGTTGCAATTGTTCATTGGGTGTTTTTCTTCATAGTTTCTTAGTTTTTCTTGGCTGCACAGTTTGCGAGGCAGCAACTCAATTAATGGCCTGAATAAATGCTCGCAGCGGCAGACAAAAACTGCTGCTAATTGCAAAGTGAGTGCGCACAATGATGGCCCATAGAACGGGCTCCGTCCACATACATTCCGCCCCAGCCGCCCCAGCCGCCCATTCAACACAATCCACCAAACCATTGGCTCCGCACACAGAGCGGCAGCGGGAGCGGGAGCGGTAGCAGAGCGGCAGTGCGAGTGCGAGAGCGAGAGCGAGAGCGAGAGAAGGCGAAAAAGTTTTAGCCATTATGGCGCACAAGAACTTATAATGATAGTTGACTGTCAAACCAGGCAACTAACTAACGAACCAACTAACTGAACTCAACTGAAATGAACTGAACTGAACTGAACTGACTTTCGAGCCGGTCGAGGTCCGAGCTCCGAGCTCCGAGGGCCGGCTCATTACTGGGGAATCAGGGAATGATGAACTGACCGAATGACAGCGTGACAGAGAGACGGGGCGACGGGGGAGACAGGGGAGACCCCTTTCGGTTGTCATTTGATGTTTTAATTGATGGCCTAAATGAATGCATGAATTGTGGTGCTGCTGCTGCTGCTGCTGCATTTCTGTCTGCAAATTGGGTATCAAATTCTGATTGCCAATCTCCCAGTCTATCATAGAATTTGATTTCGGAATCAATTTAGTTGCCACTTTGATGATGGTTATTCGTATCAATTCTGGGGAAAGTATTTAAATCTGCTTTGCAATTAAGCACAGCAGCAGCAGCAGCCTCTGCCACTGCCTCTGCCACTGCCTCTGCCCTTGGAGCTGTGGCAAATCCTCGATAATCTTTTGACAAACGAAGCCTTTTGATTGGCTTCTCAAACAAGACAGTTTTCACCTCAGTTTTCTTTATCATTGGATTTGTGTGCTGTCTGCCATTCAATATTATAATGCGACAAGTTTTTCATCTTCATCTTCATCTTTGTCTTCATCTTTGCCTTCATCTTTGTCTTCTGTGTGTCTCTGTGAAAGGCGCTCCCTTTTCGTCGCCTCCTCCTCCTTCTGTATCCTTTCTGCTAATTGCACATTTCTTGGCAAAGTTTCGCTGCGGCCTTTAATGAGCTCCACGACCCGACCAGAGACTGCAGCTGGATGGAGCTGATGTCGAAGCTGAATCTGACGCTGATGCTAACGCTGACACCGAACCGTTCAGCAAGACCCAGCCCCCTCCCCTCCCCTCCCCTCCCCTCCCCCTGAGCCCCTTGTCCTGGCCTGTCCTGGCCTGTCCTGGCCTGTCCTGCCATTTCTGCCTGCTTATGGGCCATTGATTAAGTTTAATCAATGCGCTTACGGCAACTCTTCCAACGCAACTCCTGTGCACAGTAATTAAAATGCAGCCACGACAGCGACGGCGACGGCGACGGCAGCTGCGGCCTTATAAAAATTAATTAAGCTTGCGATGCAGTTTCCCCTCTGCCCCCCGCTGCCCCTCTGCCTCCCCCACTGGTTGTTGTTCGCGCCTCGCGCGCCCTGCAATTCGCAGCTCTTCAAGTGCAGCCGTCGATGCAACCAACTACAACATTGTTTTTCAATTAACAATCAACAACAATGCCACAACAATACAAGCGAACAGAGCCGAATCGAGCGGAACGCAACGCAACGCAACGGAACGGCGAAGGTTGCACGCGCCAAATGACACAAAAATTGCCAGCTCAGGTGCCGGAAGGAAGAGGCAGGAGGAGCAGCAGGAGGAGCAGCAGCAAGTAGGTGCCACAAGCGGTGGCAACTACAATTGCAATTGTTGTTGTTAATTAAGCGGAGGCACAACTGCAAAAGCGTCCGAAACACAGCTCATTGCGGCGACGGCCTGTTGTTAATGTCCGCCCCATCGATGGGCCACGCCCCGCATGCCACCATCCATTGGGCTGTCATAATTACACAGCCCCTCTCGCCGCGACACGACAGGGATCGACTCGGTTCGGATCGGTTGCTGCTGCTGCTGCTGCTGCTGGCTCATTATGTTGTTGTTGCCCCCCCCTGCCCCCCTTGCCACATTCTGTTGCCTCTCCCATCGGGCAACCGCAAACTTTAATTCTATTAGCAAACGTTAAATGTACACCACGAATGTGGGTGGGTGCAGAGTGGGCGCCGAGTGGGGCCCATAGGAGACTGAGGGGCGTGACAACTGCTGCCACTGCCAGTGCCACTGCCACTGCCACTGGCACGGCTGCTTCTGTTTCTGCTGCTGCCACTAACAAGCAGGCGCACGCGGCGGTAATTTTATTTAAATCTGAATTCATTAATTCGTCATAATCCCCAATCATTTTGGCCGCCTGGCCCCCGCCCGCCAGACCGCTGCTGCCGCTGCTGTCGTCGGAGGAGAACTTCAAAAAGCCATCAACGACAGACGCTGCTGCCACAGCACCCCCTTGCCCCCCGTCCCCCGCCAGCCCCGAATGCCAGGCCATTCATTTGGCTCATTTTGTGTACAAAAATGCTGCGCTCAGTGGAAACGGCGACGCTTCATTATCGTAATCGCTATATAAAACAGCGGGCAGACTCCGCAGACTACAATGTCAGACAGTCGCACGTACGTGGTGTGTGTGTGTGTGTGTGCGTGTGTATATGTATGTATTTTATGCGTTTTGTGGCACATTATGTGCCTAGAGATGAGAGGCGACTCCTGCCTTCTGTGGCTGACATTAATGAATGTTGCCGACAAAAGAGTGCTGCGGGTGATTTTTATTTCTCTGTGCGCCCCGCCCCGCCCCGTACCGCCCACCCCGCCGTTTGCCACGCCAAAATTAAAGGCAAACCCTGGCCCAAAAAAAAGGAGGCCCAAAACGAGCCATCGATAAGGAAGTTGGTCAAAGAGGAAGATGGATGGAAGCAGAAGGAAACAGAAGGAACACCAGAATGAAATAAAGGGGTTGGCTCTGGCGCTCTGGCGCTCTGGCGGTGTCTGCAAGTCTGATTTTGATGTAAAGCGAAAGGGTTTTTCTCGACCATTTCCCCGGTTAGCCTCGATTTCCCAGGTTTCTCTCTGTTTTGCCCTGCCTTTCCCCTGTTTCCGAGTTTTGTGGCAGCTCTGATTCGCTGATTTTCCTCCTGTTAAGTGAAACGTTTTTAATGAGGCATTTTCATGATTCCCTGACTTTTCAGCTATTTTTCTGGCTCTCCTGTTCGCCCAAAAGGTACTGCCCGGAGTTCTTTATTAAACGAAAGGGTTCTTTGGGGGTCTCCGCAGTTAAACGGCTTTAAACTAAACAACTTGCTGGACGAATGGAAATACAATTATGAATCGCATGGATTGTCTTTTGGCTTTCGATGAGAATTTGCTGCTTTCTGTATTCCAGGAATACTGTAGTCTCGTTAAATCGTCGGCCGTCCCCTGCCACTGGCCACTGGCACTCCCCATCCATCCCTTGTGCATTCCCTCGCCCCCCACGCCCTGTATCCTGGCCATTCCCACGCCTTTGGTTCTGTTTCAAAGTCCCCAAAGTTCTAACTGGATAATTTGCAGTAATTCATCTTGCTGGCGGTTTTCTCAGTTCTCTGCTCGACGCTTTTTTCTGCCCCTCCCTCCCCCGTGGGCTTTCCTCCCCCGCCACCGACCGCTTTTGTATGCCTGCTTGATTGCGACAATTTATACGGCGTCAGGCTTGTCAGGATTTGGTTTTTGGTTGCTTCTCTGCGCCATGACGTGGCTGCGGTTGCTTGTAAAATTGAAAAAAGGAATAAGTGGCAGCAGGCAGCAGGCAGCAGTGGCAGCAGTTGGAGCAGCTCTTCAAAAATAGTACCACATAGACCGATAGAGATGGATATGGAGAGAGAGAGAGAGAGAGAGAGAGAGAGGAATTTAAAGCTGCAAAAGTGAATAGTCATACATCTAATGATAGCTCTGCTCCTCCTTCCTGCTCCTGCTCCTCCTCCTGCTCCTCCCTCCTCCCTCCTGGCCGTTTGAAGAACCAAACCGAAAAAGCACTCGACTGGCTCCCAGCACTTACTTATTTTTCGTTTGTGCAAAAAGAGCGACGAGAGCAAAGTGATGGGAAAAAAGTAAACTTTTGCTAGCTGCCACTGCCGCTGCCGCTGCCGCTGCTGCTGGACGTGTGCGATTCTCGTCTGTGGAGCAGCGGGGGGCGGACTGGGGGCACGGTCTCCGGCTCGGCCTCTAGCTGAAGCACGGGCTCGTGTCTGGCTCTGTGACTGAGATCACGGCGGCGGGGGTGGTACCATCTTTCAAAAAACTTTGGCCAGGCGACAGCAAAAAAACAGAACTGGCAGAGGCACTGGCAGCGGCAGAGAGTTCTTATATACCACATCCTCTACCCGTATGTATCTGTGTCTACCAGTGTGCGTGTGTGTGTGTGTTTGTGCCATGTAAGCACATGACTGCGTGCGGTTGAAATATAGATAAACTTTTTTAAGCTCGTATTTATTACATATTTGGCTGTAAGTAGAATTTAAGTTGCTTTTTGCTTCGTGAACAGACACCGAGCGACGACAGACACACACACACACTGCGTATGAGTAATGTCCAAGGAAGCACTCCCCACCCCCCACCCCCTGTGGCTGCCACTCCGCCCAATTCCCCAGTTCTCTCTCTCTCATGTGGCATGCGATCTGCTGTTTGTGGTAAATTTGCAATCAAAAACGCATCAATTGATGCCATCAGAGAAAAGGAGAGCGAAAAAGAGAAAGAAAGAGAGAGAGAGAGAGAGCTAGAAGGACACAGCATTAATGAGGCACACTCGTGCATGTCGCAGGCCCAGGATATATGTACTATATATTTCAATTAAAAAAGGATTCCATTTATAATCCGCAACTTGATTTGTTATGCCAAGGCACAACAGCAGCGTCAGGGGCAGCGGCAGGGGCAGGGGCAGGGGCAGGGGCAGCGGCAGCCGCA